TGGCCTTGAGGTAACAATTTAAATCAAATACCTTTTCGTTACTCCTTTGCAGTATAGTTACATTTATTGTAATCAGGTTAAGTAGGATGCCTGCTAATAATATGCTAATTTATAGTTTTTGAGTTATCAGAAATTTGTGTAATAGGCTATACTGTATCAACGCATTAAGAACAAACCTAAAAATAACATATAAATGAATGGGTAGTGATCTTAATATTGTAAGTTGGAATGTCAAGGGCCTAAATCACCCGGTAAAAAGGAGGAAGGTAATTAATCATCTCAAACAGTTTAAAACAGACATTGTCTTCTTACAGGAGACGCATGTGCATGCCTCTGAGCACTCTAGGCTTATGGCGGGCTGGGCGGGGAAGCATTTCCCAGCATTGGACCCGACCCTGGATCGCTCTTCCAGCAGACCAGGGGTAGTGAGTAGATCTGCCTCATGTATCCAGTCTTTTATCTCTGAGTTTGGGATTTCAGATACATGGCGGGTTCCTCAATCCTAGAGTGAGACGGTATTCCTTTTTTTCCAATGTCCATCACACTTACTACAGAATAGACTATATTTTTGTTGACAACAGACTAATTCCTCAGGTCCATTCCTGCACATATCACGGTATCATCATATCTGACAATGCCCCTGTTGTGATGTCAATGCTATTTCCCAACGCTCCACGGCCTACGAGGCACTGGCATCTTAACCCAACCCTACTTTCAGACCCCCAGTTTGTTAAATATATAGAACAACAGATTAGCTTTGTCTTTGAAACAAACTGTGCCCCGGATGTCTCTGCTCTTGTGGTCTGGGATGCATTTAAGGCCTACTTGAGAGGGCAAATTATAGCGTTCACTGCAAATAAGAAAAGACAGTCTCAGAAGACCAACTGGAATTGATATCTAAAATTCAAGAAACCGATCGACAATATGCACTTTACCAAACTCCAGAACTATACAACCAACAACTGGAACTGAAAACTAAGTTTGACCTTCTCACCACTTACCTAACGGAAAATCTCCTGTTAAAAAGTAAAAGCGCCTACTATGAACATAGTGAAAAATTGAGGGCGACGTGCTAGCTAATCAACTAAAGGGACTAAGGGCTAAACAACTTATTTAACTTTATTTAACATTCTATACTCAAGCTCTAGTAATGTCCTCGAATGTGTCGTGTCACTAGATGCCGAGAAGGCGTTTGATCGCGTTGAGTGGAAATATTTGTTTAAAGTTCTGGAATTTTTTTTCCCTTTTGAGTCAGATTGCCTCCAACCACCTTTTCAGCCCGCACGCTCTGACTCAACTTTTCGACTTGGCATGAAAGGGGCATCAGATCGTTTTCGGACTTGTTTGAAGACGGCTGTTTTGTTTCCTTTAATCAATTGACTGAGAAATACAATCTACTGAAAATGCACTTCTTTCAGTATTTACAGGTCAGACGGTATGTTCGCTCGCATGTGCCCTGTTTCCCTTCAGTACCCATAGCTAACCCGATAGATACCTTTCTTTCCTTTGACCCACTGTCTATAGGTGCACTGTCCAAGTTACACAATATCATTTCGATGCTCATATGTTCACCACTGGACAGGATTAAGGCGGCCTGGGAACAGGACTTCGGACACAGCTCTGATGACCAATGGGACTCCATTCTTTTATCAATACATAAATCCTCAATCTGTGCTAGACACTGTCTACTTCAATTTAAGGTGGTCCACAGGGCTCACATGTCCAAGGTTAAGCTGTCCAGCATCTACGCCGATATAACCCCCACCTGTGACAAATGCAATTATAGTGATGCTACCCTGATACATATGTATTGGCTATGTCCTAAATTGCATAAATTCTGGCATGACATTTTCCTTACTTTATCTACAATATTAAAGAAAAATCTAAGCCTTAGCCGTACCCTTGCCCTGTTTGGTGTTGCTATAGTGGAGATAACCCCCACCTGACTTCTACAGAACACCGCATGATCGCTTTTGCCTTGCTCTTGGCCAGACGTGCAATCCTGCTGAAATGGAAGGGTGCTGCCCTGCCCACGATTGACCAGTGGTGTCAGGATGTAATGTCCTGTCTTAAACTCGAGATGTTACGTTTTTCTGTCAGAAGCTTGAAGAGGAAATTATATGAGACATGGGAACCATTCTTAACCTACTTTCATAACACTCAAACTAAATCATCATGAGATGAGCTTTGATCCGGCCCTTGGCATAAAAAGTAAGATCTGACTCTGTGTGGTGCGCTGCAACTAACTCTTCGATATTACGCCTTGTTTTTTTATTCAGGACAGCTGGGGATGGGAGGGTGGGAAGAGCTATTGCACTTTATCATGTATTACTGTCACTGCCACAGAGACTTGTTCGTCTTACTTGTTCTGCACATTACTATACCATTTGTGGCAATGTGGAATATTACTGCCCAACCCTGGTGTTTTCTATGTTTTATTATTCGCCTTCTTTTTTTTGTATTTTGTGTTTATATGATGACAACTCAATAAAGATATTTGAAATAAATAAATAAATAACATATTCATCACTGAATGCAAGATCCAACCATTATCATATGTCATACTGATACTGAAATGACCAAATGGCTGTATAACTACAGTCTGTAAAATGGGGTTATTATATCGGGCAGTTAAAGTGACTTCAGTGTCTCATCTTTGACATTTATCCACCAAATGGATGAGTTATGGCACTTTTGGATTTTACAAGCGTTGGCAGGCTGGAAATGAACACTGGCTTTCTCTCCCCACCCTGGTAAGAAGGAAATGAAGGAAAAAAGAGTTTCACACACATGCTTACACCGCTGGATCTAAAACAACCTCACTGCACCTGCTGTGACCCCAAGGATGTCATATCTGATTTGAAAGTTTTAATTATAAAGGTGAATACTGTCTGTTCCTCGTTTATTTGATGATAAAAAACACCTTAATTCATATTTTGTATTGAAAGTGATGCAGCTAATGTATGCTTATTTTAGGTTGTTACAGTAATCTGACTTGAAGGATAGACTGTCAGAGGCTGGTTTGAAGGACAAAAGCTTGAAATGAAATCTTTTTGTCTGGACCTGCCTAACATCCAGGGTGTTAAAATAACAACACTGCATAATTCAGGCTCAAGAGATGATTCACTTGTCATTGAGAAATTAAACAATTACACGAGGAAAACTGTAACAGAGGTATAATTTTTTATTTTATTCCATTAGAGTTATAACACTAGGTTTATCTCAAAAGGCTGGTGAACTTCAGAGTTTGAGGAATATCTCCTGTATAACAGGGACATCTTGTGGCCATATCACTTGTGCAAACGTTTGGCATTAGCTGTTACATTCATTCTTTCTAACATGTCTGTATTCAATTTTCATTCAGATCCAAATGTGTAAAATAAATACACTTGTGTTGTCATATTGTGCACTTGTCATATTTTACTAAGTCAACAAGTTCAACTACAGAAAATAATTAAATTCAATCTTTTTAATGATTATATTGCTTTATGTGTGCTCTGTTAAACCCATTACAAAATAGATTAAAATTACCGTGCAACATCTTTTGGGTTACCTCGAAGGGTTTTCATCAGGGAATCTTGGGTCCCATGTAAACATATCACTGTTGGTCCACCACAGGCCAAGTAATATAATAATAATATGTAGTATTATTAACATTTATGGCTGACCGTTTGTTTTTCTTATTCATCAATCTCATACATCAGAATCACACAACAGAGTCTAATTTAATTTATTTCATAATAAAATGCATTACTTTAAACATACATACTACAAAGTAGCTGCTTTCTGTGGTAACCATGGACACAAACAGAGCAGCCAGAGTGCAGTAGAATATAATGTTTGGGTTGCTTGGCAACAGCCTAGTTTCAGTTAAATTGTTAAACTAGTTGAGTTAAAAAATAATCCGTTGTTGATTTGTACTTTTTACCACTATTATCTGCTTGTATATGAATTAATTGAATTTTATTTTATTATTGTGTCATGCATTAGCATGCCCAGCTCACAAAGGCTTACAAGACACCAATATAAACACAAAAAAACAAAAATAGATGCCAAACAATACTAACAATATAGACCATCCTGGCGTTTCCTCCAGGCTTTAGTGACAAAAGAGGCCAACTTATAAACATTGAAAGTAAACAAACAGTCCATCCTGACATCGTCATTACTCCAAAACACTTCAGGGTCTCGAGCAAACATTTCATCAAAAAGAGGTACTCATAAAAGGGACAATACAAAGAAAATGAGATTCACTCTCCACTTCTCCTTTTGCTCCACTGTTCCTCTGGGATATTTTTCAAGTGACTTCAAGTGAAAAGGGAAGGATCGCTATCCATAATTGAGCAACCAAAGATCTTTGATTTCTTGGTAAGTTTGCTTACTAATTCGGTATCATAATTATGCTTTATTTGGACATATGTTCGTAATTTAGGTTTTAACAATATTTAATTTCACCATTTTTCATTGAATACAACAATTAACTTTTTTTCTAATCTTATTTACGCTGCATGATCAATTATTTGTATAGATAAACCCGTAAATCCGCTTCTTCAGAGACAGCATGAAGCTCTGCAGCCCATGGAGAGTTCTGAACTTTACTCCAGAGAAAAAAACTTTCTTGTCGATCCTGTCATCAGACATAATAATAAAACGATTCCACAGTCTAATCATGTCGCATTTCCTCCTTATTATACCAGTAAATCCACCCTGAGCAGCCAAAGACTGTTGTATTAAAGCAACATCACACTTGAGGTGGAGATGTTGTGGATATCAGCACTGCTGTGATTATCTACGAAAGTATCAAAACAGTGTTGACGTTCAGTACTTGATTACTCCCTCATGGCCATTAGATTAACACTTTAGTTGAGTGTGCAGCGCCCCCTCAGGAGGATCTCGGTACTGCAGTGCACCCTCAGGAGGCTCTCGGTACTGCAGCGCCCCCTCAGGAGGCTCTCGGTACTGCAGCGCCCCCTCAGGAGGCTCTCGGTACTGCAGCGACACATTAGCAGCTCACCACTCGGACGAGGAGGCGTGTGTCAGTAACACTAAGCTGCACGTCGCCTTTGGCTGACCGAAAGAACCCCAGTTTCTCCCAGTGTTAAAAAACAACAGGTACACAATGAATTTTACGGCTTTATTTGTTTTGTTGCAGCTGTGTTTTATGTGATATACGTGTTGTTCCTAACCTTTTTTTTTTTTTGCAGACTAGCTCAGCTAAGCTAGGCTAGCAGCGGCATAGGCCCGTGCTCCATGTGTAGGCTAACAAACTCTAAACATAACTTCAAACATTGTTCAAGTAAAATTATCATATATTTCGTCTAAAGGCGTTAAATGAATGTCATAATGACATTATTAAGTGAAGTTATCAATACGCGAACAGAGCTGTGGTGTGATAAGCTTGATAACGATGGTTTAAGATAGTTAGCTCGGTTAGCTCTTTGGCTTCAGGTGATTTATCTGCTGATTGAACGTGAATCTACTTCACCTGAGATGATTCTTCTGTTTACACTGAACTACGTTGACCTCTCAACAGAGATTACAACATGATTTTGCACTTTGGAGTTATGCAGCAGTGTAGACATGTCTCTCATGTTGATATTACAAACACGCAGAAAGTTATTGAGGATATTAAATGTCATGAATCAGCTTTTACTTTATTCTTTTATCTCTAATTTAAGTAACATTCAGCAAAGACTGTCTTTAAAATAATACATTTTGTTTAGAAATCAAAGTGGTTAAAACCATAAATGTTATAAAGAAGTTTAGACAAAATAATTAATCTTTGATATTATTAATATTCAATATCTTCAGTTACAAGACTGTCTGTTAAAAAGCTGAAAATCACAAAGTCCTCTTATTATGTTTTTATGTGATGTCGTCTTCTTAATGTCTTCTCTTACTGGTTTTACTATTTTTATCTTCTTTTACTTCTTACTGTTCTTTTATTTATGCTCTTATCTCATATTTATGCTCTTATCTTAACTCCTCTTATGTTTTAACTTTCTTATCTTACTTACTTTGTCTATTTATGTTTCATATTTATATTTACTTTTTATTTGTATTAATATTATAGTTTTTTTTTATCCTTTAACCACTTCTTTCTATTTATTTTCCTGCTCTTACCTTCTTATTGCTGTTATCTTTTTATTTATTTTTTTCAGCTCTTTTAGTTTAAATCTTAAAGCTTAAATCTTTGGTTCCTCTTGGTTCAGCTCTTTGTTGTTGGGTTCTTGTGTTGCCTGGGTTCTTATGATGGTTCTTGTGACGGTCGGGGTTATATATGTCTGTTGGGTGTCGTGCACTTTGGGTTCTTTTCTGTTGAATTGTATTTAATTATTTTTAGTATTTTGTATTTGTTATGTTCTTGCTGTTGTTTTTGTTCTTCTGTGTTTGGTTTAGTTTGCTTTGTTCTTGATTGTCAAAGCACTTTGTAAACCTGTATTTTTAAAAGGTGCTATATAAATAAAGTTATTATTATTAATAATAATAATAATAATAATAATAATAATAATAATAAATCTTTAATTTACTTACACTGTTTATTATTAATGAGTTCAATTTTGAACATCAATCATATTTAGAATTTTAGATTTTTGTTATAAGAAATCTAATTCACTGCTTGGTATTGTTTAAAAACAATGAGCTCAACAACACAAAATGTATACTGTAATTAATAATATGTATTAATGTCATAAATAATAACACCAGCCATAATGTTTGATTCTGTCTTGCTGGCCCACTTTTTTCAGTTTTATGAAGAATCATATTTGGGAACTTAGTAAAAAGCAGATCTACTTCAATCTTTCATATGAGATATGTAGCTTGTTCCCGTATATATATTTAAATGAAATCCTTGTGAATCTTTGTTCTGCATCTGTTATTCCTCTTCTCATTTTCCTCTTGTTCCTGTATTCTCTCTCTTTCTTCTGTCTCATATCTACCATGTTTTTTCCATCTTTTCCTCTGCAGCAGCCGTGCCCCGCCGCGCCCCCACCCCCAGCGGAGCCGTCATGTGGCAGGAGGCCCGCAAACACGAGCGCAAGCTCCGTGGCATGATGGTGGATTACAAACGCAGAGGAGAGCGACGGCGGGAATACTATGAAAAGATCGTAAGAGACTTTGCAACTTATCTAGACAGACAGTCCTCCCTCTGCTGTGGCTTCTTATTTCTGCAAGAAGGTTTTTGATTTTGCTCTGTCCAGATGGTGACTGACTTAGTCTTGAGATAACAGATGGATATAACTTTTAGACTTGATGCAGGATTTTGAACAATGTAGAGAGGACGAATACGCTTGACTAAGAATTTGTGAAGTAGCCACCACATGCAGAGCTTAAATCTGCCTTTGGGCTTTAAAAAAAGATGAAATTGGGAAGTTAAAAAGGCAGTACATATTTCCATTTTTATTGACCTGCCGTTTCGCCTCCCCTAGAAAAAAGATCCAGCTCAGTTTCTGCAGGTTCATGGCCGAGCCTATAAGATTCATCTGGATCCCGCTGTGGCCCTCGCTGCAGAGAGCCCCATAAACATGTGAGGAAACATATACAACACATTTGATGTTCATCACAAAAACCAGGTCTATGGTGCTTGTGGGATCTTGCTGGTTATATTGTGTAACTTAATTCTCTCGTTTTTTAAAAGGATGCCATGGCAGGGAGATGCCAACAACATGATTGATAGGTTTGATGTCAGGGCTCATCTGGACTACATCCCTACGTACACGCCTCCACTGCTCAACACATCGTAAGTCTTCAAAATGCCTGATGCAACATTTATACACATTACCTGGCGAGTGTGAATTTCCTGCAGTTTGAATCCTTGTCCTGTAATTGTATGTAACTGAAAGTCAGTGAGGAGAAATTTCGAAAATATCTAAAAAAAAAGACTGTACCTTGTGTGATACTTGTACATGTAAATGAACGCCTGGAGAATTTCAGCCCTGTCCAAAAGAGTAGAGACACTGCTTATGAAGCCAAACACTGAAGACAAATCTGTGTATTCCTCAGTATACCAGAGGTTTTATATCTTGTGTCTGTGGAGATATTTCCACGCTGTTGCAGTGATGCATTTTAAGTCAACCAGCAATGATTGGGTTCCCAGAGCTTAACTGCGTTGTGTTGTTTTTGTTGCACAGTAAAACATTTCACAAGTCTTCAGCACTTCTCAACAAAATGCATTTATCATTTATCATTTTCTGCCACATGAAAACTTAACTATACGTCACTTCACAGTTTCTACTCTGCTCTTATACACATTTTCCCTGGTAAAATATCTTTGTTCTCTTTGCCTCTTACAGAACCCCAGAGCAGGAGATGGAGGAGAGAAAGTGCAATTATGAACGCTACAGAGGCCTTGTGCAGAATGACTTTGCCAACAGTGAGTGAAACATGCTTTAAACCCAATCTTTCATGGAAACGTTCAACTTGATTCAGCTTTCAGAATCATGAAATAATAGTTTAAATCAGGGCTGCTCAGTATATTGTTTTAGTATCTTGATATCTACATGACCTAATATCACAGTGCATGTTCCCTAAGTGCTTGAGGTAGGTATTCAGTTTCCTTACATGATTTTTGAGTATGAAGGCTGCTCCGCACAGTGGGTTTTAAAAGTCACATAGATGCTGTCACATGGCTTGTTGTGCCTTAACTTCCTGATACACATGATAAAGTGGCATAACCAAGTGGAGCAACAGTAGGTGTGAGTTTTTCCATCAGTGAGAAGAGAGGCTTTTAAGATATCCAAAAACATGACTCAAAATAATGACCTTCATGAGTTAAGAAAAGTTTTTGCAAGTTGTACAAAGGATCAGGAAAAACACACTGCATGTATCTGGTGAAGTTTTCTGTCTTTCAAATCTGTTAACCTCTCATTCCTTTTTTTTCTTCTTTTTTTGCAATAAAGTTATTCAGATAAAAATAAACATTTGAGTAAATGTTGGAATGGAGTTGAGCCTCTCATGTCTATGTTTTACACTACTGTGAATATCATATCCTGTAAACTTTCCCTCAGTGGGTATATTTTGCATTTGTGTTGTGCTCTAAAACTCCCATCTGTCTTCCTACAGTCTCCGAAGAGCAGTGTTTATACCAGATCTACCTGGACGAGCTCTACGGTGGCCTGCAGAAGCCAAATGAAGATGAGAAGAAAAAGTATGTCATTTAAATGTTTTGAAAGCGATTGTTTCATCTTTGTGTGGCATATTAACATACTTGTATTTTTTGTCAGAGTTTGTTATGAGAATGTAAGTGTGCTGTGTATTTATTATTCTCTCCTCCCTCTGTGCAGGCTGGCTGAAAAAAAGGCCACCATTGGTTACACGTATGAAGACAGCACTGTAACAGAGCCGGACCCTCAGTCAGACAAAGATGAAGACAATTCAGAGAACAGTGAATCAGAGGAGGATGAGGGCATCCCAGATATTGGTGAGGAAATGTTTTTTTTTTTAGGACTGAATGATTTAGAAATGGGACATTTCCATAGATTAAATATTCTGCTGCTTCAGAAACGGAGGCACAGATTTAATCCTGCAGAAGAACACGTTTTTCCTTCTCTATTCCAATATTTAAGTTATGATTTTGTATTTTTTATTCCAACAGTTCACTTGCTCTTTACTAATAATTTCAAAATCATTTGTCACACACAAGCTTGGGCGTTATTGCTGTGTCTAAGAGTCTTTGCCTCGCGTTGTGTCTGTGTTTTGTACAGATGTTGAGGTGGATGTTGACGAGCTGAACCAGGAACAGGAGTTGGACCTCAACAAAATTGCAACCCCGTATGGAATGGCTGAAGGAGACTTTGTGAGGTAACATTTCAGTCGTCAACTGTAGAGAAAAGCAAAAATACCCCTCATAACTCAAGGGCTGTCTTCATATCCACAACATTTCCACACGACTCTAATACCAGGCCAACTGCAGGGGAGGGAGAACCACCCACAACTGCTATGTTCGCAACTGCTATGTAGGCTGTCTTTCCATTAAAGCTTGGCACTACTTGTTTTAAACTTCCATAAGACTTGAATGCTGTATAATAATAATAATAATGCTTTATTTGTCTAGCGCTTTTCATTCAGACAACACAGTTATTTTTAGACAGCAAGTTTAGACGAGGACATGCACTGAATCTTTGCAGAAAAGTTCAAAGGGAACCAGTGTTATATATTGAATTCAAAGGAATAGATATTTACCTGTGATGGAGCTCGGAGGCTCTAGTGCAGCTTCATCAGGGACAGATGAGGCCAGTGAGAGCACAGTACAGTGTGGAGGAAGGTTTTTATTGATTGATCAAATCCATTCGTGGTAGTCTCTGGTTGTTACGCAGTAGCTTGTTGATGAGATGTTACATTTAGAACTTAAATTAGGTGCAAGGAACTTTAGGGTTGTGTTGATTTTGGAGCTCCCTGTGGACAAAGTGGTGCGTCTTATATCTTTGCTCATCTTTTCCTGTACATGTGTAGGTAATGTTTTCTGACCCTAAAAAATCATGTTGCTTTCTTGTCGAATGTACCAACAATTTTGAACATTTGCCATGGAAATTGTAAAATAATAGGCATTTTTCTTCTGTGGGCAGCGGTTTCAGGCATTTCAAAATAAATGTCGGTATAGAAACAATCTTATTTGTAAATGGTCATGTGTGCAGGCTATTTCATAACCAGCTCAAAACCTCTCACAGGGGCTTTTTGTGAAATAATTTAAACATCAAAGTAGGAGTTTACAAATCCATAAGGTTCAGTGGTGAGTGGTTCTGTTCTATAAAGATTTATATGTTATTAGAATATAGACTAAATACAGCTTCAAAGTTTGACGTTTCATTTTCTGTTTTTAACACAAAGTCCCGTGGAGAATGATGAAGGTGAAACCAGGAAGAAATAATAAACTAAACATGTCATTTTTGTAGGAAATAATTTTTTAGAGAAAAACTTAACTATGTGATTATGTCCTATTTTATCACTGACTTGTTATGTTTATATTATTATAGGTGGTTTAAAGTATCTTAGCTTTGTGAATGTGTAGCACTGTTAACATGATATCTGTTTAACAGGATGTTGAGGAAAGACAAGGAGGAAGTGGAGGCCATCAAACATGCCAAGGCTCTGGAGGCGGAGAAGGCCATGTACTCTGTAAGGAAACATCTACTGAGGAATGAACGTCTGTGTTTGTCATGTGATGCGACTATTTTAAGTTATGCTTTTGATTACCTCAGGGCCGGCGTTCTCGCAGACAAAGGAGAGAGTTTAGAGAGAAGAGGCTTAAAGGTCGACAGATCAGTCCACCAAGGTAAATAAATGTTGTCCTTTTATAGAGATTATCTCATCCAGAGATCAGTCTCCTTAAATATTTAAACCTGTCCTCTTTCTCTTGTTTTCTAGCTATGCAAGGAGAGACAGTCCCACGTATGATCCCTATAAACGGTGAGTTTTATTAATCGGTCCACCTCCTTTTATTTTCCTGATTTGTTTGTGTTTGTGTGTGTTTGAGTTTGTTTTTCTGAACTTCCTCTCAGGCCAGAGTCGGAGTCGAGCTCTGAGTCACGATCACGCTCTCGTACTCCCGGTCCAGAGAAGATCACCTTCATCACCAGCTTCGGAGGCAGTGACGAGGAAGCTGCTGCAGCCGCACAAACAGCCCCCCCTCACTCTGGCCACGCCCCCTCCAGCACGCAGCACCCTGCAGGTCATAGCAGGGGCTCCCGGTCGGTAACTTTCCGTCCTCCTGGCTTTTCATTGGTTAATTCTTCTCATATGATATTTGAATGTCGAAATGATCGCAGCTGTTGAGGCAGAGAGAAAAGTCATGATAAAATGCAGCTCTTTTTTGTAGTAGGTGAGTTGGTGCACAGTTTTTAATAAGCAGGATGAATTGATTAACAAATGGTCACTTTCCACTCCGCATGTTCATCGAAGAAATGTGAGCTTGAATAGTTAACAAGCAATTATGATTTTGCACGTCAGTTTATAGCAATGCAATAAATAGTGCTTTGAATCTTTGAGTTTAAATATTTGACAGATGAGTGCTTCTACCTTTTTTAAAACAAGAAAACAGACATTGTGGAGTTAGGCTAGGTGCTTGCTTGGTGTTTTTATTAAATCCTTGTCTCCTTTCGTCCAGGAGACGAAGGTCGTCCTCCAGCCGCTCCCCTTCCTCCTCCTCCTCCCGCTCCTCCTCACGGTCCTCCTCTCGCTCTACCTCTCGTTCACGCCGTACAAGGCGTGGTCGCGGGGGAAGGGATGGTCGCCGATCCAGAACCCGATCACGGTCGAGACGACGGACCCGATCTCACTCTAGAGGCAGAGGAGGAAATGGAGGAGCTGCATCCTGGAGGAGACGAGACCGGACACGATCGCGATCCAACGACAGAAACAGAGAGCGAGACCGAGACAGAGAAAGGGACCGGGACCGGGACAGGAGACGATACTCAGCGCGTAAAAGAACAAGGTAATCCCCCCCCCCTAATTTCTCCCAACAGTTATTAACTAACAACACACAAGAGCCCTCACCTGAGCTCTCGTTTTTATTTTTCTCAGGTCACGTTCCAGCTCTCGGCAGGGGGGCAGTTTGAGGCGAGGGGGACGAAGCAGTGCAGGCCATCGGCGGGGGAACAGCAACAGTCACAGTCCGTCTCAGTCCCCAAAACGTGCTAACCACAGTCCCTCCCCTGCCCATAGAGGATCCCAGCCCTCTTCTCTCAGCATCTGTGACAAGCTAAGAAAGTAAGTGATTAGTGAATACTTAAAACAATGTTGACGATGTAGTGTATAATAATAGTCCCTATAAGTCCTAATAGATTGACAGTGACTTCTTCAGGAACAGGAGTTGGACCTCAAATCAGCCCTGGCAATTTCAGCACAGCTGTCCCCTCACATAACACACCTGTACACCATCCCTATGACCCCTTTAATTAACTTACTTAATACTCCTCCGAACTATTAGAAAAACTTGAGAAGAGCCACGGACACTTATACCTGTGTGTATTTACTCTCTTAATATGACTTGACCCCACCTGTTTCTGCATAACAGTGGGCACTGCAGTAACAGACCAACTGCTGCAGGGACTTCAGAGTCAAAAGCCATTTAATGAAGAAGCTGAAAAATGTACAAACAACTTTTCCATACTCATCATTTGATACTGACGTTGAACTTCTTCAAGACACGTCATGACTCGAGCAGGAGAGGGCAGGGATGGAGTCGTCCCTGTAGGAGATGTGATTGGGCCAGCCAGCTGTCATTATAGAAGGCTATACAGGACAGCGCCGCAGATACTTAAAGGAATAATGGTGTTCATGTGTTTCTTTTAATGACAGCAGTCAATATAACAACTGAAACTGCAACTCCCTGCAATCCCTGCAACTCCCGTTTCTGAGCACCCCTGAATGCAGCATGCTAACAGCGCATCCCCTGAGTAACGGCAGAGAGAGACATGCAAAGTCCGAAGTCAACTAAGGCGACTACTTTATTTTCTGATGCTTCTTACAGACTTTTTATTATTGCGTGTGTGTCTGTCAGACACAACCACACACACCCAGGCCTGCGCTGGTGAGAGTGTGCTCACCTGTGTGCGCGAACATGTCTGTGTGTATGTGTGTGCATCAGGGCGAAACTCCGCATGACACAGAGAGCAGAGGAGAATTGTAAACGCGCGACCATGTAGAGACAGAAATGACATGCCGTCGTGTAAATAAGATAAATAACATGAGGGTATTTAGTTTGTTTAATAAAAGGAGGAGGTATAGACCTGTTCTATTGGAAAGGTATCCTTATGACTTCTGTTGTGATCTCTCGCTATATAGCCTAGAAAATAAAATGAACTTGACCATCAAGGGGGGGCGGGGGGTGCCGTTGGGGGGGGGCGGGAAACACTGCATTGACCCCAGGGTGCTATGCTTTTACATGAAGACCTTTTTATGAAATGATTGACAGCTAATTGTCTTTCCTCTTTCCTTTCTCCAGGCCTGAAACTCCGGGTGGTAAAGAGACGGGAGCTGCCAAAGTCAGTAAGAATTTGATCTAGCTGGGTTTCTTGCTAAAGCCTACGCCTCCCTCATCCCTGACAGGCTGACATGGTTGTCCACCAGACAGGGATGTAGAAGCTATTGTTTCCCACAGAAAATGAAATGACCATGTGATGGTTTTTTTCCAAACAAAGTGGACATGCACTGCAGCAAAACCCCTTCATCACTTCGCAATTACAGTTACAGTATTTTACACCTATGTTCTTTTGTGACTTACTGACAGACTGAAATAATGCTGCTCACTTTGTATGGAGTGAACATTTAGGCACTCTGTGATGTCATCATTGACCTGTTGTGTTTTTAGTCTGCAGCGTCTTTCTATCTGTTTGTCGTCTAAAACTCACTGCACACTTTCCAATGACCATGACAGGAAGAGTATGACTGTTTGTCTTGTTAAAGCTTATCATCTGTATCGGGCAGGTGATCATTTTTTGTGACAAATAATTTCATGGAGATACAGATCGCTTTCATTTAGAGACGTGGTTTCCTGCATAGATGAAATCAAGAAGATTGATACCACCCAAAAAATGAAAATATGTGGCTTTAGGGTTTTTTCAATATCAGAATTTAAATGTGATGAACTTGTAAAAAAGAAACGATATCTATACCTGTTTTGATACCAGGGCAACAGAAATAGAAGTCCCAGGCCCCCGATATTGGCTAATCTCCTGCAAGTTAACTTCACACCTTCTCGTCTAGAGACTCATTTTAAGATATTCAACTTTAGTTATCACCCATAAATCTGTTAAACCGACCTGTGAATTTGAGTGGTTCACCAGTGCTCTCTATTTCTCTCTCTGCAGCTTTGGGTTATACATGTGACTGAGCGTTTTGTAAAAGTGTTGGTACTGCTACTTTTTCAAAACGATCAACTTAAGTTTAATAACAAAGTATGGAACATTTTGGCATCATTATGTGGCTACAAAGTGCAGTCCGCTTAGGTCTTTTAAAAGTGGGTAACAGCCAGACCTGCTGGTTCTAAAGGTGACAAAATGTGCTTGCAAACACACCAGAAGCTTACTAATAAATACTTTGTTTATATATATTTTTTAAATTATATTTAACCTTTATTTAAATAGGAGAAAACATAGACCTAGTGTCCTTGTCAAAACAGGCAGTTTCTGACCAACAATGCGCAGTCACATTACAAGATAAATGACTGTAGTACATTACAGAGTCTTGAAATAACAAGTCAATCCAGCAAATATTTGTTACAATCAATCACATTAAGAAGGTAGAACTTCTGCAGCCAGATATTCCTGCCTCTAAATCTTGATAACGTGAGAGAGCCCACACATGACAACAATCCTGACCGATTAACAGTTCAGATCGCATCGTTTGTGGTGTGCAACGAGACGATCAACTCAGCACCGATTAACCGATTATTCGTCGACAACCAGAGTCTCGACTATCACACAGTGTAATCTTGCGCGGTCAGATGCGATTTAAGAGTAAACAAACATGACGGGCAAGCTAAATGTGGCTAGCTGGTACATCTATTACGGTAAACATCTTTGTCAAACTCCTTTCCTTGTGAGTTGGATTGTGGTTTGTTTTACAGGAGACGTCGTATATAACTCGGGTTGTTGCCACAAAACAACAAGTTGGTCCTGAATTCATGACATCCATTTAACTTTATGCTTCGCGATTGCTGTTGTCGCCGTTGTAATGTTTGTTGTGCTTCCTGCTTCAGTCAGCTTGCTTCCCTGTTGGCTATTGTTCCGTTCCACGTGACAATTCACAGAGTCCATGCTCGGCCGTCCTCTGTGTTCTCCCCACACACACCAGGATTTCTGATCGTAAATGTTGAACACGTTTAATATTTACGATTTCAAATCAGGGCGGCCCCCGACCGTACTCCGAGCAGATCGGGGAGGTTAAAATCACTCTTAATACACGTCACACCATGGAAGTATCTGGACCAGACTAGCTGCTTCCTAATGTTTCCAGTCTTTACACTAACCTTAGCTAAGTGGCTAGTCCTGATAGCTGCATAGTAATTAGATAAGAGTTGTATTATTCTTCCTATCTCACTTTATGCAAGAAAGTGCTCGATGGTATTTCCCACTATGTCCAACTGTTTCTGTTTAGACACAATAAGTTCATATTTGCTGCCTTGTTTAACAACATTGACTGACTTTGCTGCCCACCACATTTTCCAACGTAGAAGAATGGATTTGCGTTTCCTCCCACGGACAGATATAAGCGAGTTATTATCTGCCTCTGTGTCAGACATGCCTGCAGTGCTGTGACCTGCAGTTTTTCTTGCCTGGCCAGGTTGAAACGGCCCAGTGAAGGGCGTGTCTCTGACTAAATGCCACCGGCTCTTTCTTAACTCAGCGGACCTGAACTTTTCCTTGTTTCACTTCCCGACCCTGTTCTCCTCCTCCTCCTTTTGCTGCTCTCCTCCTTTAAGTCTCTGACGGTGTTCGTACATATAAACATATTGTGTATTCAGGCTCATGTGATTTGGATCGCCAAACTATTCTACAGTCTGTTCTCTGTCCACACAACACAGAGTCCTGCACAGGTCCAGTTTGCAAACCTGCATTAGCAAAGCTTAATACCTGAACTAATCTAAACCTGCAGCTAACTCAAAGTCAAATCTGAGACCACCCGCAGCCGCTTCTATACTACACAACCAGTCCCACACACGCGCTAAGTCCTTCACTTTTATGAATCTTGTATTTTTAATGGCAGAATTGGAAAATGAAATATTTGTCATTGTTGCATAACATTTTTCTGCAGGTCACTGATACACAACCTCGTGCAGGACTCAAGCACACAAAGCATTCACACACACCTACAGCCCCCAAAAAATACAGCGTGCGGCTTTTTGAGTAAACAAAGATTGTTTACATTTGATCTGTGATGTTGTAGCCTGTGGTCTTTTTCTACACCAAGTACTGTACATGAAGCTGAACTGGTGTAACAGCACAGTGCCTTTAATCTAGCTCTCACACACAACAACAACAACAACACACACTCACACAGTTTAAAGGGACTCTCAAAGGATGTGCTAACACTATTGTGTCACCAGCAGCCCAAGATGACCCCACAGGAACGGCTGAAGATAAAAATGCAGAAGGCGCTCAACAAGCAGTGTGAGTAGAGCTGAGCGCAGTGCGAGTGTGTTTGTGGTTTGTGTTGTTTCTACTTTCAGGGCTCCAGACTAACTTTTTGCATTGGTTGCACTAGTGCGCCTAACTTTTTTTTTTTTAGGTGCACCCGCACAAAATTTAGGTGCACCCAAATTTTTAATTGCGCCATAAGGTCACCTTTTTATCGCTCTCCATAACTTTCATATAATGAACAAGAATAAGGTGTAGAGAGATGCTTGTCATTATTTGAAGCACAATTCTATATAAAAAGAAAAAGTGTTGAAAGTGTTTCACTGCGCTGACCAAATTGGTCGCACTCTGGAGCCCTGCATCTTGTGTGCAGACGTCTGAATCATCAACACTTCTATTAAACAAGTATTTCTTTATCAGTGTATTTGTCACCGACAATATATGTATATACACGTATACTGTAAAATAGACATAAAAACTGACAGTGACCACAGATGTAGACGGGCAGCCACGTGTAAAAGCTAACAGAGCAGATTATTATAAACACTTCCTGTTTTTAAACCTGTATAATTAAACTGTGTTTTCCCCCTTCTGCAGCCAAGGCGGATAAAAGAGCTGCTCAGGTGAAGATCCAGCAGCAGGAAAACAAACGACAGGTGTGTGTTTGTGTGTCTTTTTAATCTGTGTGAATTTATAAAAGTCAGCAAAAGGTGAAACTTTCAGAAATAACCTGACCTCATTAATGTTGTTGTTTCACAGGAGCGAGAGGGAGAGCTGCGAGCCATGGCACGCAAGATTCGCATGAAGTAAGTTATCCGTGTGTAAGGGTGTGTGTGTTGAAGTGTGTAAGTGGACCGTTTGGCATTAGTGTGTTGCAATTGTCTGACCCAGAGGCTCTGTATTCAGGGAGCGTGAGAGACGAGAGAAAGAGAGGGATGAATGGGAGCGACAGTATGGGCGACAGAGCCACTCCCCCTCTCCTTCCAAATCCGGTAAGACTTCAGGTTTCTGATCACATACAGCCTCATGGATAGCCTTACGTTTTTTTTTTTGTTGCTATAGTGCGTATGTGAGTGTGTGGCTATCCTTTATACTCGAAAGAGGTAAACAAAAATATGGAACCAGCCAGGTTTCTTCTGTCTGACTGGCTGACATCAGTTTTATGAGTAAAGATGTTTTGATCATATCTCTGTGTCCTCTTTCCCTCAGGCCGTGAACACAGCTCACACAGAAGGTATGCAAGCACCTGCAAGAATCTTCCCAGCCCTAATGAAGCAGAGTTCATTTAGGGATTTGTTCACACTCATGCACAAACAGTATCCTAAAATCTTGTTGCAAGAACTTTAAATGCAATATTTGAGCTACAGAGCTTTTTCAATGACCAGATCAGTGTAAGGAGTCTGAGGAGAGACATTTCTTTTATGAGGATAAAATGAGAACAAATAATCCTGTGTAACTTTTCTTACAATTTAATTTTACCAAAAAGTACTCCTTTGAATATTTATAAACTCATAAGAAAGCTTTTATGAAGCCATTAGACAAGATTTTATGGTTTAAGTTAAGTCTCAAAGTGAGAACATCTGGAATGATGCAAGGGAGAAATCAGGTCACAACATGTCTTTGTATGGACTTAATGTTTTACAATTGAAAAATATATTTATTTCAAAGTTCAAGCAATCGGAATTTGTTTTTTCTAAACGCCTTTGCTGCCCTTTATTTTTCATTAGTTTGTAGCCAACAGATATACCAACATACTGTGTCTGTGATTTTCTGATAATAGCTGGTGTATTGATCCAGCTGATTTATTTGGCAGGGTGTAATCTTGACTAAAACGTATGACTTGTATTAGATTAAGTCTGTTCTTATTCAGATAAACCAGAAAATCTGTGTTAATCAAAAGTATAAAGAGTTTAATCATAATGTGGGATTGTTGGGTTACAAAGTTACAGATCTAAAATAAATGGATTTTTATTGACGCTCCAAAACGATTGAATACATCAGGACTGTGTGATCACTTTAGAAACAATCCTTTTAAAAAATATATATGATCTACATTATAATCAGGCTTCTGTCAGATAACACTGCTCTTACCTTCATACTGATCTCTTTTTCATTTCTTCCAGGAGGTCGCGGTCTCGGTCTCGGAGTCCTTATTACCGATATTGAGCTGTAGGAAACGTGAACACATCCTACAGAAACGTCTGAACCGTACTTAGTACACAAACTCTCAAACCAAGAGGCTAATAAGTGGGAGTATGAAGAGAGGCACTGGCACTACGCTCTCTGAAACTGTCTAAACATAACATTGACTGTGATACCTTTAACTTCACTAATTACACAGTTGATTGGTTCAATCTGCCACTTTTGTTTCAGCTTCATCCTGAAAAGAGAGTGAAGGTTTATTATGAGTTTCTGTTTTCTTCTGCATGCTGTTTTTTTCCCTTTTTCTGCCTGAACACTTCTTCATGATGTGAACTCTTCTGGATTTATTTTCTTCTTTGAACTATATAATACTAAGCAATATCTCATCTTTTTACCTCCCATCTTCCTTTTTGTCATTATGCTCGCTCTCAGCCTTTTCATGATCACACTTAAGACCATTTCAAATAACTTTCGTGAGCTGATGTACAGGATATTTATAAACATCAATTTAAAACTTGTTTATGAAAGCAGATGATGTTCATGTATGAATTCAATCCACCAACCTCTCTTTTTGTACATAGTTAACAGAAGCAAATCACTTTTTGTTGTTGTCTGTAAAGTGGAATGTTAAACACAAAACAACAAATAAAATCAATCTTTTGGAATAATTGATTATTTTCTTTTTGTTATTACTATTTCATAAAGGTTCAGTGTTTATTAATTGACAAATGATCTTGTAGTTTGTGGTGTTACAGAGTCGCAGTTTGTTTTTTCAACCAGCAGGTGGCGACAAATCTCAGTTTTGCAGCTAGAGCTGCTTCACTGCAGCCTTGATTGCTGAGGGTTTATTGTAACTTTTAAGGATATCTTTACTCTTCTATCTTCTTTTTTGCATTTTGTTATTGTTTAAAAGTAAATTCTGCTAAAAAGAAAAAAAAAAAGGGGAAGGGGGAATGACTGGTATTGTGGTACTTGTTTTTATCTTTCTGAGACACCTGTGGTCGAAAGTCAGGTTGTATAACTTACGAACAGGTGCAAAGGAACTAGATCTGTTTGCACTTTATGATGTGAAAATGTTGATTAAAACGGAGTGTACAGTTTAAAAAACCCAGAGGCAGATTGTAAGTGAAGCTAAAAGGTGTTGAGAAGAGTGTGATACTCGAAGAGGGCGGGGTCAGGGTCTTAGGAGCGGGCGGTGCCTACACTCGCCCATGCCCCCTTTTGCCCTCCGCTGGCTGCGGGGGGAAGAAGCGTGAACTTGAACGCAGCCTTCACTGCTCAGTGCGAGTCCAGGCAGAGGCCAGCAGACAGTCTTATCAGTCCGTCCCCGTCCACTCGGGTTTCGGTCAACTTATCGGAGACGGAGCAGCCGGACGCGTGCTGGTGTTTTGCAGGAGGTGTGTGGGGGGGGGTTTATTAATTTGCTGTTTGAGAGCCAGAAAGGTGCCACACGCGGGACGGCTCGACGCGATGTCCAGGCGCAAACTTGGAAGCAGACCTCAGCACCTGAGTGTGATTCAAGGTAAGCCCGAGGAGAGCAGAGGTGTGTGGGCACGAGGTGGGGACGTGTTTTTTTTTCTTTTAGGTGAAACTAAGGAACATTCAGGTCACGGTTTTCTTTGATTGCCAAGTCTGCGTGCATGATTTAGAGACCTGCTGGCACCGGCTATCAAATGATGGATGTTATTTAAAATAAACAACAACAACAACAAAAAAACAATCTCAAATATGAGTTAAGTATCATTAAAGTATCATTCTGTGCACACTGACCTCCTTAAAGCCAGGGTTGGTGTGTTTTTAATTGCATTTGCGGACATAATTGTTCAATATTTGACTTAGGGATGGTAATGTTCTTGTCATGTTTGTCCTGATGTGTTGCTGTGTTCATAGAGGACGGACCGGTTTACTGGCACGTTGTTTTCACAGGTTACAGGTCCGAACATGATGATTAATACTATCCAGGTTAGACTATGATCAAGTTTCTCTGACGGTCTCCAGTTGGTCCGGGACTGTTTACCTGCTCTGCTTCTGGGACATCAGGTCCACTTTGCTTCATGTTATGGCAGAGTTATTTTAACAGCCTATTTGGACAATTAACTTTCCACTTTAAAAAAAATAATTAAAAAAAACACATTTAGAAAGACTTACATTTTTACGATTTAAATTCTTTGAACATTCAGTAAACTCTTTTGGATCTCAAAAGAAACGTGTTTGAAATGTGAAGTGAAAAAGAAACTGGACCGTCATTTATGTTTTACAGTTCTTACTGGAGACCAGCCGTGCGTGTCTGCTGTGGCCACAGCCACTGACTCAACCTGTGTGTGTGTGTGTGTGTGTGTGTGTGTGTGTGTGTGTGTGTGTGTGTGTGTGTGTGTGTGTGTGTGACCGCGCCTTGCAAGTCTGCACAAATAGCGCGGCCCAGAAACAGGAAAGGTGACATTTTTTCAGAAACAACTGGCGAGATCCGACTACAGACTATACTGTCTGTACCTGTCCTGTTTGTTAGCCGGCCCTGTAGTTCAGGCAGCTGGAATCTGATCAAGGTGTGCCAATGACCGAGTTGTGCAACAGCCTACTGACCCTCCTCCTCCTCCTCTAAAGACGTCTGTGAGAGACACTTTGTTAACAAATAAGGTTTTTAGCCTGAGTCCACTTCTTCAACATGTTTGCAGACTTCCTCCTCTCGCTGAATCAGACTGAAAACTCTCTGAAACTGCTCTTATCTCAAACACCTTCACTCATTTTTTTCTTCTTTTATTGCAATCCACTTCCGGTTGAGAAACTCCCGCTGACTGTGGCTAGAAGCGCAAGTTGTTTTGAGAGTACAATGTGATGTACTGGGTCAAAATGCTGATAAAACACTCATTTCAGCACATGGTGGTTAAAGCATTGATAAGAGGTTAATGTTGCAGCTGATGTGGACAGTTCAGCTCTCTGTAGGCCTCCCTCAGAGCGTGCTGATCTGTTCTGGGTCGGTTAAAGGAAGTGGTCAGTGTTGGCTGAGCAGATTGGCCTTGTTGCTTTAGAGCTCACAACTGAAACTAGCACTTTCAATAAACATGCCTGTTAGTTGTTCCACTTACTGAGGTCTAACGGTTCTTGATGTGCCACTTTAAAGCGCATGGTCAACAATCCCTGAGCAGAAGGAAACGGGTAGCCTACCAGAGAGAGTAGACCTGCACGCTCCGGTGTTGTCCAGATAGTCATTCCTTCTGATGATCTGCTGCCACATGAAAAGCTTCAGAGGAGGTCCAAACTGTGGATCTTTTCATAGACGCAGTCTTCTATATACTCTACATGGGAAAAGTTAATATGTACCCACAGAGACAAGCTGGATGAAATGTGATTGTTACTCCACTGATGTATCATTTAGACTGGTGACATTATCTCTACACACTCTCCTGACATGTTATAGTCTGGATTTCATAACATGTAATATCTGAACTTCCCTACTTTGAAGTTACTTCTAAGTTTTTGCTCTGAAAATTGCTTAAAACAGTCACATTTCTATCTGTTTTGTAACGAATTAAACCTCATAGATTTTTTTTATTACTAAGGGATAAATCTGTTTAAATCTAGTGTATTGAGCCTTTGTAAGTCTGTGTCAGTGGAAGACTCCACATTTTGTTTTCATGCTTTTGCTACTCATATATAAGTTAGTGTGTTCAATTTTAAATGTCATATCAACTAAGTAACAACTAGTTTCTGTATGTTTCTCAGATGGCACCGACGTGACAGATCGCACCAGCTCCTCAGACGACCAGCGTCCTCTTCCCCCTCGTCCTCCACAGGTCCAAGCCCCTGACGAGTGTCGCGACCTCCTGACCTGTGGCCAGTGCAGCCGGGCTTTCCCCCTGGCCCACATCCTGTCCTTCATCCAGCACAAACAGGGAGGCTGCCGCTCTAGAAACCATGCCCCAAACACCAATGCCACGCCCCCATCACCTGCCAACAGGACGCTACAGAACGTCGCCAATGCCGAGCCGGGGCCAGGCTTCATCGAGCTGAGGAGGGGGGCGCCCAGAGAGCGTGGCTGGGGGGAAGAGCCCGGTGCGAGGGTGAAGGCAGAGCACAACAGAGCAGGTAAAGAAGGAGCAGAATAAGGATGGCAGGTTGTTAATTAGTGACTCTGGTTTTTGTTTTGTTTTATAGTTTTTTTTTCCAACACCCCCCCCCCCCTTTCCTCATTTAACAACTGGTCCCCTTCCTCCCTCCCGAGTCCAGCTCATTAGCTAGCCGTTGCCATTAGCAGACCTGCGTGAGTTAGTGACGCACAGGCTAATTGTGTGGAAAGGAGAGGCGTCAGGAGCGTTCAGAGGGCACCCGCGGGTCCCCCAGGGGCTCAAACACTGCACAACTAAGCTCCAGAGCTGCCTCCCATCTCCCTTACTGTCAGTCTCTGAGGTGGAGCGGACAGGTAAACATGTTTCTCTGTCATCTTGGACAACAGAGACCGAAAACCTGTTCTCTAAAAAAAAAAAAAAATCTGCTCAAAGCAGCACAGTTTCAGTGATTATGAGGTTATCGTGTTCACTTAGAGGTTCGACGTTTGTGATGCACGTCAGTGTGAAACGGTCTGAGTGGCGGATGTGAGGCCGTTTCATGCAGCTCTCCTCTCTGCTGTCATGACACCGTAATGGAGGATGTTGCATCATGTGCAGCTTCTCCGCCATCTCCCACATGTTCTGCCCTAGGCCGAGCCACCTGAGCTCCTGGGAATCTCCTCCTTCATCATCGGTTTTTTTTTCATCATCTTATTCACCTTGTTCTTCACCTAGTTGTCATTTTCTGCATCTCCGTCCATCCCTTTAGAGCACAGATTCACCTCAATGCCCTTTTCTTCTCACCCTCTCTCGCTGTTTTTTTAAAATAAATTTACAGTAGATTTAGAGAATCAGTAATTATTTATTGCAGTTTTTGTGCAAAACTGTATTCAGTTTCAAAGTTTTTGAGATGTAGGAGTTTCTCTGCTAATCTGAAGCCCATTTGAATGCCATGCTGTATCTCCAAAGTGACAAAAAAAATCAGTATGTCATAAATGCCTGCAGATGGACCTTGCATCTCGTTCCACATTAATAGTAGTCACGCATGCTCCTTTGCATATTTTGAAACCCTCCCTGTCATGTACACACACGTTAGCAGTTCCTTCCTCTGTGTAACGCTCGGGGGACTGGTGCCCCAGCATTTCCGTTTGTCCAAAACCTCTTTTTTTTTTTCTTTTTCTTTTTCACCCTGTTTTCCATCTCGCTTACAGTCAACAGGACACTTCAGCTTGCTAATTTGGTGCCCGCTGGTTCATACAACAAACAGAAACACGTGCAGGAGGGCAAAGAGGGGAAAGAGCATGTGAATAATGTAAGAGTGGATACGTTTGGATTAAAGTTTTATTAGCACATGTAGGCTGCATAATTGTAACTTTAACTCGGCTTTTAGTGTTTTTATCTCCTCAGATTTTATAGTTTGTGACATAAAGTCCTTGCTTGTTAAATTAGCAAAGGACAGTTTTTTATTTTTTTATTTCTGGGCATTCTGCAGCCTTGGCAGTTATAGGAAGTCTTGTTTGACTTGAGTTGTTTTATGGTAGGGAAACTGAGTATGTGAAGCTTTAGAGATGACTGAAAGTGAAAGAGCAGTTATCCCACAGCAGACAGGCCCTGTGTCTATTTTCTGTATTTGAGGCAGAGGGGGTAGGAAAGAGGGAGCGGGGTGGATTACTGAAGAGCCGCGTGCATCTGTCTCATTCCTTTTTATTTATTCTCCTTGTTTGTTTTTTTTCTCCTCATCTTCGACCCCCCCCCCCCCCCCGCTCCTCCTCATGCTTATTTCTTCCCCCCATCTTCAACACACTTTCGCTTTGCCCTCTTTCAATTTCTCGCCCCCTTCCCCTCCCTCCCTCCTTCCTCCTCCTCTTCCTCCTCTCTTTTCTCCTCCCTCTGCCTCCCAAGGGAAAAGAGATTCTGCCTGCTGCTCGTTAGTGCTCCCAGCCAATCTGCATTTTTAATTAGTAGTTATTGCTTCTGCTTAATATTCAAGTGCTACCGCGGGCCAAATGGGAATCCTTACAAAAAAAAAAGCGAGGAGTGAGAGAAGGAGAGAGAAACCGGCTGGGTATTGTGTTTCACTCCAGGACCCCGAGACAAAAGCCCCCCCCCCCTCAGGGAAAGATTTGGAAGCTTTTTTTGGGGGGTGTAAGGTTGAAGAAGAGTAGCTGGGTTGGAGGATGGGTCTCAAGTACAATCCAAAGGGGGTGACATATTTTCATGGTGTCTCCTGGTCCCCCCATACTACATTACAATCTTTTTATCTCATTTTCTTTTTATCTCCTGAGCCCTGACCTACCTATCTTTCTCTCTCTCCCTCTCTTTTTTTTTCCTGCTCTCACTCTTCACCCTATTTTTAAAAGAAGTATCTCAACTTCTCCTGGGTTTCTCTCCTCGGGCTAGGTTAAAGGACATGAACAGCGCAGCTCCTCTCGTCTCCAGACAGAGAGAAAGAGGGAGGGCGGGGAGAAAAGGGGAAAAAGAGAAAGAAACAGTTGCTCTCTTTTTCATCTTCACTCTCCTCTTTTCCCCCCTCCAGTAAAATACAGAAGGATTTGACTTGAGGAAACATGAAAGAGGCTTATACCAGAGTCGGCTTTGAACCTCTCCAAAAAAGAAAGAGAGAGCGAAAAAAAAAGAACTGTTTCCCCCTCAATTTGGGGATCTTCTCTCCAGTTTTGATTTATGCAGAAAGGCCTCATTTGTCAAGCAGGCTGAGTCAGTGCCTGATTTGCATAAAGCGTTCGTTTGCTACGTTCTGCTAATTAGCAATTTGCAGCTTAATTGGAGAGAGGCTCTCGGTTAGAAGACAAAGCTATCCACACATAAAAATATCTCCAGATGTACTTCTGTGTTGGCCTTTTCGGTTTCCGGAGACCCATTTGTCTCCTCTGCTTTGGGTCAAACTTTTCCCTCGATTTGTTCTTTTTAATCCTCATTTAGAACTTTTTCTTGCCTGAATTTTATCTGAGAATGATATCATGTTAACGCTCACGCTCAGCTATTAATGCTAAAGCTGCTACAGTCAAAATGTCTATGTCAACAAGAAATCTTTTGTCTACTTTGTATGTGAAACCACAAATAACTAACACTCAGCCCTTAACTCAACGTTTTGAACTCACTGTTTGGATTCTTCAAGTCTGCAGAAGTCTGCAACTTTCCTCTTAGCTCTACAGCGTTCGCAGGATTAGCAAATAACAGCATTTAGCATATAGCGGCTAGAGAGGTGTAATTACATTTTTATGTTTCATATCTTGGAATGTTTATCTGCACTTGTCATATAATAAGTGTAAATATGTTTGACTAGAAATAAGACATAGCTTTTATACATCGAGATTTTTGCAGTGTAGCTGTCAGATGTTTTATTCTTTTCTCCAAAATGACAGTTTTTAACAGAATTAACGTTGTACTTTTATTTCAAGTAGATGTCAACATTTAAAAACCTTAATATATTATGAACTACACTGTGCCAGACCCCCCCGGCCTGTTCGATGCCCATGTCTGGCCCATGTATTTGAAACACAAGAACATCATATATATATTTAACTCTGAAGTCTATCTTAACACCATATCCTCCATCTCTTCCAGTGCCTGAGGAGCCATCTTATTTCACCTGCCAGCAGTGTGAAGGTGTGTTTCCCTCTGCATGGTCACTCCTACAGCATGCTCAACACACACACTCCTTCAGCATCTACCAGGAGGACGTGGAAGAGGACACTGACACCAGAAGAGGAAGAGGAAGACGTGGGATTAAGGAGCAAAAGCCCGCCGCAGCCACTTTGGACCCTCGCCACCTGAGCCAGGCCCTTTCCTCCGCCTTCCAGCCCTCAGCCCTGCGCCTCAGCCGCTCCCGTCAGACTCACATCACCTCCACCAACACCTCCTGTGGTACTCTTCAGGCTCTGAACTTTTCAGTGCGGCTCAGGGAGCTCGCGGAGGGGAACAACACCACCAGCAGCAGCTCGCCTGGGGGCCTGGTGCTGTCTCCATCCTCCTCTCCACCCGCAGCCTCTCCCTTTCCTCAGACTGGCACCCTCCAGGATGGCTTCCGGTGCGAGCTGTGCAACCAGAACTTCCACTCCCTTCACGCCCTCTCCACTCATCGCAGGTCTCACACCTGCAATCGCCCCTATCACTGCGGCGTGTGTGGGCAGGCCTTTGCCCAGAGCGGCCAGCTGGCTCGTCACATACGGAGCCATCACAGGGAGGCTGGAGTTGGATATGAGTCGATGGAGATAATGCTTATGGAGGAGGATGTAGGGAGGCGAGGGAGGTTTCAACTGCAGCCAGCAGTAGAGATGGGAAAGGTTGGAGCCGACATGAGAGCTCAGGACTGCTCTGAGCTGGACCTGACCTTGCCCAAATATCCGTCCATGGCCTCAAGCCTGACAGTGCTGACCACACAAGTCCATCAGAGGCTGTACCAGCACCAGGGAGAGGGAGGGGAGGAGGAGACAGAGGGGCAGGGGGAGCCTCAGCACACCTCACCCTGTGCCAGCCCCTCTGAGGGCTCACTGGAGAGCGGAGAGACAGGGGGCAGCGGCGAGAGCGGCATTGCCAGCGGGAACTGCACGCCCAAACGTCCAGAGATGGGAGTGCAAGGAGTGGGAGAGTGGGAGAACGAACAAGGAGAGATCATAGAGAGGGAAACAGAGTGGAGCTCAGACAAAGTCAGCGAGGTTGTGCAGGAGTGGCAGAGGGAGAACGAGCGGAGGAGTGTAGGTGGAGGAGGAGGAGGAGGAAACGTGAGCAGTGTACCCACCGGTTCAGCAGGTAGGAAGAAGAAAGATGAAGCATGCGAGTACTGTGGCAAACATTTCAGAAACAGCAGCAATCTGACCGTGCACCGTCGCAGCCACACCGGAGAACGACCCTACCGCTGCGGCCTCTGCAACTACGCCTGCGCTCAGAGCTCAAAACTGACACGCCACATGAAGACCCACGGAACCCAGGGGGCTAAAGCCTCCTTCCTGTGTCAGCTGTGCGCCGTGCCCTTCACGGTGTATGCCACTTTAGAGAAACACCTGAAGAAAGTTCACGGCCTGAGTCATGCCAGTGTGGGAGCGTATGCGCAGGCCAGCGCCGCAGACACTTTGGCTGCTATAAAAGCAGAAGAGGCAGCGGCAGCAGAAGTGGTGGTGAAGATGGAGGAGGAGGAAGCCAGTCTGGATCAAATAGAAATGGAAAGCAAAATGCAGAGTGATGTGGTGAAAAGCATGGAGGTGGAGGAGGGGCAGAGCCAAGAAGAATATGTGGAGAACAGCAGGAGTCCGGACAGAGTGGGTGATCTCCCACCTGAGAGCAAAGTAGAAGTGAGCTAAGCGTTGAGTTCTGCGCCATGAGAGCCGCTCTCATTCACTCGCTGACATTAAAATAGCCCTGTATAGGATCGCCCACTCAAATAAAAAAAAAAGTCCTCCCATCATCGAGCCAACAGTCACATTACACTGGTATCTACTTTAAGGAAGACGCTCTGTACAAAGCAGCAGGCGGTTCTCGCCCTCCCTTCCTGTCTGCCAGCACTGAGGCACACAGCAGCCATATTTTAATGATTGTATGCAAAGCTGCTGAAACCAAGTGCCTACAGTTTCTTTAGACCACAGAGAAACAAAAAACAAAAAAAAAGAGGCTGTGACATTCAGCAGGGAGATTACCAGAGCTCTCGAAAAGGAAGAGAACCACCACAGTCCACAGCGACACAGGAAACTGATCACCATGTTGCTGAGCAGGATGCAAAAGACTAGTGATTTATCTGTCTGGTAACCCACTGGACAGGTGGAGACAGTCATTAACTGTCAGATAACATAAAGAGGGGACTTTATTGAATTCAAAAAGAAACAACAGCAATAGAACTATGTTAATATATGTACAGAGAGCGGTCACACTGAGCTACCTAACTGTAGCTGGTTTTCCTTTTGTGAAGGCCTTTTAAAGACTGAAGATGTTTGAACAGACGCAGGGAGTGAAATGAATCCAAACACTGTCTGCCTGCAGTTTCTCACTCTCCTCTTTTTTAAAGGCTCTTGCTTGTCACAACACTTGTCGCTTCGTGTTTACAGGGCTCACAGGGCCCGGCGAGGTTGTGCTCCTGACTTTGGGACAATGTGTGTGGAGGATCTTCTGTTACTTTTTTTTTTTTTTTTCTAACTGTAACATGTGAATAAGGAGACGTTAAAGTCCTGTCTACTGATTTGTTTTTTCCATGATTAGTTTCTATGCATAAAAAAAGAAAAAAAGCAATTTAATCTACACATGAAACGGGTGTGTTGTATTTTCTCTAGTTGTAACTATTATTGTGATGGTGAATTCCTCCCTTGCGTTGTTTACATTCGTAAGGTGCCGGACTCCTCGGAGCTTGTGCAACAGCCATTTAAACCTGTTTTTGTTTGTTTGTTTCCTGTGTTTGAATACTTCTAATTTATGAACGCTGCATGTTCGTGGTTGTGAAACTGAATAGTTCTGTTCCACTGAAAAACTACAGGGTTGATCAGTCGAGTTTTTTTGGGGGGGGGGTGGTGGGATGGGGGGGGGGGGGGGGTGTGTCCCACACGAGCACTTGTTTGATTGAGTTTGTGAGTTGTGTGTGATTGTTTCTGTGTACATACTGGGTAAACTTCCTCAGGGGACACTTCTTGAACCCTGTGCTCTGTGATCTTGTGTTAGCAGCATGAATCGGCTGGTTCAGATTGCTGTGCCATGCTTCTGAATTGTATCAACTATGACGATGAAAGGTTATAAATGTAAGAACATCTGTTAATCTCACACATAAAACAGGACAAAGCTGTCAAGTAGAGTGCTCCTAACTTTTTTTCTTTTTTTTTTTTTTCTGACTACTGTGACGACTTTGTGTTACAATATCTCAGTTGTGTTGCATTCATGTCAGGGAAAACGTATCCTTATGTTTGCTACACGATGAATGATTGTGAATGAGTGCAGTGTAACTGTTCAGGGATAATATTTTGTACATATATTGGCATTCTCGCTGTTGCTATACATGTTGTTGTTGTTGTTGTTATTGTTATTATTATTATTAATATAACTGCCTCCACTTTTCCTAGCCTTGCTCCTTTATGTTTCACACTGGCTATTGTGAAGCAATACTGCTCTGCTGTCTTTGTAAACTTGACACCATTTTGTAATTGATCCTCAATAAACAATTGAGGAAGAGATATTTTGCTTTGTTGAGTCGTTTTTTCCCCATCCGTCTCATTGCTATGTTTTTTTCACTGCATGTTAACTTATTTGTTTTCCTGGTACCCACAACAAAGCTTTTGAAACTATTTTTAAGCGTCTTCTCTCCCCAAGACGTTGTCTTAGTCAGAGCGGGTCGTTTCTCTGAGGACCACAGTCAGCGTTGAGTTATTAATTTTTAATGTGAGTGTTTGGATTGGGGACCCTCACTGCTTGTTTACATCCTTGTGATGTTTCTGGCTTTGTCTGGAAACACTGTAATGTAATTCAAGCTGTGTGTGTATGCGAGCATGTGTATGATACTGTAATGTGTGTGTGTGTGTGTGTGTGAGCGTAGGTGCATTTGAGGTGGTGTCAGTCATCCTGCAGGCTGTGAGATGGGTGCAGCGAGCTGTGATGGGACACGGGCAGCAAAGGTTTCTCAGGATACAACATTTGGGGAGGGGGGGGGTGGAGTTTGGTTATTGTTTGTGGGCATGTTAGGAGGCAGGCCAGGGTGGGTGGAGAGTGTCAAGGGGTTGGGATAATTGCTGACTCCATTTTTAAGGGTATAAAAACCTCTGCACCAGCATCTCTGGCCTTAACCCCACCCCCCAAATGAAAATGATGTTCTATGATCCCTCTAGCTCATTAACAGCAGGTCTTTTAATGAGCTTTCAACAGGGTGGGGGCTGGGGAGATGAAGAGGAGGAGTGGGGTCTGATGATGGAGGGTGAGTGTGGGGGGGGGGGGTTATTGCACCAGATGCACACACGCCCATTCCCACCAATTACCATTGTGTTGTAGAGAAAAAAGAGGAAGTGAAGACCGAAGCCCCCTTAGACCCAGATGAGTCAGTTTGTCCGTTTCTCTCCACAGAGACAGAAAACAACACAGAGGGGAGACAGGACAGTCCAGGTGACAGGTAACAGGTAACATTCTCCGTCTTTCCCTCTGGTAAACTCAGCCCTTCTTGTCTGTTTGGCGCCACAGCAGGCGCCATTTGGTGCTTGTGTAGACCCAATTATGTAAGTAAGGTGATACACAGCAGAACGCAGCACAGTAGCCCCTAAAGCAAGTGGATATCATTTCCACGTCCCAGAGTGCCCTTTGTCTCCCTGCAGTCCACACCTTTCTGAGCCGCTGTCAAACCCTGCACAGGCCAGTGTCAACAGCCAATCAGAACATAAAGAGTTTATAATGTCTACCAATAGAAGAGTAAGGCTGACACTATGTATGTGTGAGTGTGTGTTTTCTGACCAGTCACTGCCCCAAGGCACTGGTAATGTGGACTTTGAGATCTAATAGTTGTGTCTCAGGTCCACATAGGAAGCTTTTGTTGGTGGGGAAGTTGGGTGAGGTCGCTGCGGGACAGAGATTCAGACACACAGGCCACTCTGTTGTAACATGGGGAATCTTATTATGCGACACACACTTCAACAACTTAACTTAAACACATGATTCTTTTATACATTTTAGGAAAAATGTCTTAGTGCAAGGAGGACCATCTGGGACTTTGGTATGTATAAAGTTTCAACAGAACAAATGTTGAGCTGCAATCTTGTTAAATGATAGTTTCCTAAAGGCTGTTGGCAAGTAAGTAAGTAAGTAAGTATAAGAAATGATACTGAATACAGCGTTCCATTTGTCTATACCCCCAGGGCCATAGCCAAGATGTTAGAAATACTTTTCACACTTAAAGGGAAACAGTTCAGATTTTTTTTTTTTACATAAGGGAAATGTAAGCTATCTGTAGCTTATTAAAACACCCAAATTCAGAAAATGACTCGTGATGAGAGGAGCAAAACATTCAAAGGTGTTTGAAGAAAGTTTTGAATTTTGAACCTCCAGAATAAAAAAAGGTTAAGCAATGCGTTTCTGTGTGGAAAATCTTTTTCTACCATCAATACTTTACAGATTTGAAGTGATGTGACAGCATGAAAAACTGAAGGGGACCTCAGATTGAACCATTGATAAGACCTTAATCCTGGCAAAAAACTAAATTCTGAGGAATACTCCTGTGCTGTATTCACACATTCACAAAACTCCTGAAAACAGAAATTGTCATGTTAGCTGCATGTATGAATGCAAACAGAGGAAGCTTTAACCCTGTGACTTCACCCTGAATTTCTCCTGCCAGTCCCTAGTAAAATTTCTGCAAGTCTGAGTGAGCTGATGATGAAGGAAAAGTCCAGAAAATACACTACAGGGGAGTGGGAGGGAATGACGTTTATATCAGTCAACTAGTGAGCTACTGGGTCATGGCGCACTTAGTACAGCAGCTTCATAGTCTTTTCTGCTAGCCAGTATGTTCTTCTCTGCTCTTTCATTGATACCGTGGATACGGTCAGTATTCCCCCTCTGTATCGTCTTCAGGGGAATGCAAGGAGGCATTAAAGAACGGGATGGGATCAGCTGAGCAGCAGGGGAGCTTAGAGCTGTATGTGTGTGCATGACTGGTGTGTGAATGTGGAGCTCCCACTCTGTTGTGCTACTGAATTGCCAAAACGCAATGTGAATTCACATACTGGGACAAAAATATAACACTGTTGCAGAATCAATATGAATGTACTAAGATGTGATTACCACTGTTCTTAGTTACAGCACTTCAAAAAAAGGGCTATAGACACAAAGGCAAAAACTGTCATCAAATTGTCACACTTTGCTTCGCCCGCCATCTCGGCTGTCTTGTCAACACTTTGACAGCGCTGTACTTTTTACAGCATGTACTGCCTCCAAAGAGCCCCCACCCCCAAATATCCACAGGGAAAACTTGTATGAATTACAACTTTGGAAAATTTCAGGGGCAGGCTGTCTCTAAATCTTCTCGATATTTTCAGGAGTGTATATGTGAAAGCAGCTCTGGTCAACAACAACAACAGCTGAGAATTTCCTACTAGGACTGACCCCATTATACAAACAGTGTTTTAATGGGTTTAATACAGAGACAAAAACTATTCAGTACATTACTCTCGGCTGTGCGTTTGCTTGAAGGCTGAGAATAAAGACAAAGACTGATTCCTAATTGCAAAAGCTCGGGATTAGTTCAAATCCAGACTCTTTGCACGCCTACCCTTTATCTTTACCCCAAATGTCAATTCTATTTATACGCATTTATCGTCAAATAATGGCAAAATGTCGTTGATAATGCTTTTAAAGAGAGCACTCACAAATGTTTTAAATCTAAAAATGGATGCAGAGACTGCTCGACCTCATTGGTAGTCTTAGAAATGAAGTGCAGTTTTCTGGCACTGATGGCACAATCACAAATTCAGATTAAACTTAAGATGATTAGCTGAAAAAATGCTCACAACAAAGGGAATGTATGAGCTCTATGTTTGCTTTCCTGTAGGGCAAGCCTGTGGGCATGAGAGGCTCTCACTTATGTATGAGACGATTGTGCTTTATCATGGAAAAAGCCAATTAACTGTGAGTTTTTAATTACATTTCTCATGGTGTACTGTCTGAAGCCTCAAATCGTCTCTGCAGTCTCTGTCCTGTTGTGCTCTTCCTCCACAGAGTAGTTGTGGAGGCTGAGGATTAAATCATCGGCAGGGCTGACTGGGATGGGGATAACAAGAAAGAGAAAGATGCATTTGGGAGTGATCAGCCAAACCACAGGACTCCCTTTCTGCTCTTTATCCTCGCACAGTTCCCACAATCCCCACCTTCTCTCACCCGTCCCTCCTCCCGCAAAGACCACGGAGTGAAACCTGAACCCTGGAATTACACCCGCTTCACCTCTCCCTCCTTACCCTCCCCTAACACCCCCCCCCCCCCCCAACCTCTAACAGTGAGAGTGTGAGGGAACATGGTGAGAGGCAACACGGGCCCTGGCAGTCATCCGTCAATCCAGTGCCTATCATTTTGCCATTCAACACCTTCAGATAGTGAGAGGAGGGAAAGACAAGGAGGGCTCATTCTTTTTTACGTTTATATAATGTCACTGATCTCTGAGGGCCAGCTCTGTGGAACGAGCGTCACTTTAGTTTGGACTGTGAACGAGGAAGTACTGATGTTACCCCGGACAGTTTGATTTTCAAACAAAAGGGAGGAAGTTTACTGATTTCTCTTTTTTTTTTCAAACTGAGATCAAACATTACATCTAAACAGGCAGAAAGTGATGTCAGATGATGATGATGATGACAAGATTTTAAAACCATCCTATTATACTCATTCCTGAGTAAAGGACATGGGCCAATTTTCATTGAGGGACCACTGGATGATGTGATGTAAAGAGAGGGTGTGGTAGAGGGATACAGATAAAACATGCAAACATGAAATACGATGTTGAGATACAATAAGGTACAATAAAAAGCAAAATGATGTGATGCAATAAGCCTACCATA